GGAATTCAATAACCGTATTAATACGCGTCGTCTTTAGAAACGAGCGGATGTATTAAAAACGTTTTAATCAACTCTCTCGCGTCGAGCGCGACAAATCAGATCTGAGATCGCGGTGACTTTTTGCATCCCCGGCGTCTGGGCGAAGTCAAACGCGAATGTATTTTTTTATTGCAAAAAAAGCTTCGCGTATATCACGTGCCGATCGCAAGTCCGCGATGTTTTGCAGCGAGACTCGACAAAAGCGACGCTGCGATAACACGTTAGAGCACGCCGAAGCGCTATGACGCACATTTCTGTCCCTGCATCAAATCGAATTTTTTTCCATACATCTATTTGCCTGCTAATTGAAGGAGGAAGAAAAAACGAGAACAAAATTTGCTATGTTTCCAGTCAATGCGTCAAGTATCAAAGGGATGCGAATCCGAGGGAAACGTAAATGACGTACCCCAGAGACGGGCGCTACAATGTATCAAATATACGAGGTTGCATCAATCAAATGATTGCATATTTATCCGCTCTTTCGCGGACATGAACGAATCATTGCAAATCTCTCCCCTCCCCTCTCCCTGTTGCTAATTTACGGCGGGTTTAACGGGTGTCTTCGCTGTCGATTGCGCCATCGCGCATTCAGCGTGTACGACGCGATGCGTGACGTAATGAGGAGGAAGAGTTTAATTTAATCAAGATATTTGCTTCTGCTACTGAAGAAAAACATCGATGATAGAATTATTACCCGACTATCCCTTTTTTCTTTTCTTCTTCTATTTAGACAAAGAAATTATATTTATATAAAATTTTCTTATTCCAATTTGATTAATAGAAATATATTATTAAATGTTTTTTTCAAATATTTTAAAATATTTTATATTCTATATATATTATATATATATATAAATGCGTGTGTATAAAAAGTCGCTTTCGTAGAAATACATATATCGGAAATAAAAATAAGGAAAATTAACGATTATATTTAAATTATTTTTTAGATGATAAGTGATTAAAATTCAAAAAAAGTTGATAGAGATATCTTTGATAAAAAATAAAGTATCTGAAATAGAGAAATAAATTTTAATAGATTCTCTGATTTTTTTTACTTTCAAGCAAATATTTGCAGTTGTTTTTTTTCAATTCTGTAAAAAAAGAATTTAAATCCATGAAAAAAATGTTTAATAGAAAAAATCACAGATAGCCGAATGAAAATACAATAACTTTTGCTACACCCGATGTATGCATGTATGCACTTACGACATGTTTAAAGCCTATCGATGATCGATGCCATCACTCGCGTCGCGATAGTGTCCTTGATACGTTTTCGAGATTCTGCCCCGGAAGTCGAAGAAAACTGCCTTGCCGAGCGATCGAGCTTATTTCCGCTTCGAGAAGACAAACACGAGAGCTAAAAGAAAAGCAAAGACGGAAAGAAAGGAAAATAAAATCAAGGAAAGGAAGAAAAAAAACAAAACATACATACATACATCTTGAAAGGTAGAAGGAAGAGGGTTGATGGGGAGGAACGGATAAAGCGCGAACGGAACACGGGCGAAGAATGACGAAGAAAGAGCAAAAGCGCGGGCGGGAAAGGGGTAGCGGTGGCCAGCGGGGATAAACAGGATAGAATATATGGGAGAGAAAGGTAGAAGGGGGAGGAAGAGGAGGGTGCAGACCGCGATTTAGCGGATTTTCAACGTAGCTGCACGTCTCGCGGAGGGGTGTGCGCGATTCTTAACGCGGCGGAACCGCCCCCCGATGCCGCGCGGCCAATGGCGCGGTCGTTCTCGATGCGCGAGCTCGGGGATTGCGAACGGAGAGTCGCAACTACCCCCTCGTTACGCTCTCACCCTCCCGGAACGGAGTGACGACTCACCTCGCAGTGCTCTCGCCATGTTCGCGTCGAGCGAGCAGTCCGTTCCGCTACGACAGTGAGGTTCTCCGCTGGAATCGGCCGGTGGAGTCGCCGAGAAGAGTCGTCCTCTTCATCCCCGTGAGCGATCAACCCCGCGCGGGACCGAGCGCGCGCCGGCCGCTCGCCATGGCGGGCCCGTATCTGTCGCCCCTCGGGCCCCAGGCTGATCTGCTCACCGAGTATATGTTCGGGCGTCGTCGTCAGGTCAGTGTACGTTTCTCTTAATTCGTTTATTGGATTCGTTTATTCAGGATTGCCCGACATCCGCGTTACCGCTAATCGGGTTGAACATAAAAGTACTCGGCTGGTACCCGGCTCTCCTTGGATTCTTGATCCCCGAGCATTCGAGTATTTACGTATGTTCGGTCAATTTTGTTTTGATTCAAGTTGAAATTAATAAAAAATCTAGATGAAATATATGCAAAATAAAAAACCGAACTCGTGGTTACGCAGTAGTCATATAAAATTAAAAATATGATGGTATAATATACAAAATAATCTGTATGTTATAAGTGAAATGGGTATTTTAAGTTGTTAAAGTATCTGACTATTTCTTTTGACTGACGATAACCTAATATTCGTAAAAATAACCGATTGTTTTCTTTAGTAGCAAATAAATATTTAAACAAAAAATATATTAATAGATGAATACCTATCAAATATCTGTATTAGATCCATAATTGAAAAAAGAATACGAATTTTGCAAGTAATTGAATAATTTTTTATGTATCTTTTTTACTTCATGGCTTTCTAACGGAATATTGATATTTTTTACGCAAACTGAATTAAATTAGTAAAAATAAGATTTTACACATAAATTTTTATTTTTTAATATTTTATATCTTTAATATTTTATCTCTTTTTAATTTACTAATAAAAGTAGTAATTATTAAAAATTAAGTAGTAAATAATTTAAAAATATATTTTATATGTTAATATATTATAATTATAATTTTTAATGTAACATTGTATATATTGTAATATTCTAACATTTTTAGATATTTTATAAAAAATATCGTATATTTTATAAAAATATTTTTAATAAAAAATATTTTATAAAAAATATTTAATAAAAGATATTTATAAAAAAATATGCGTTATTGATAATATTCTTACACAATAATTTATCCGTCACAATATCATCTTGATGTTTTGATAGCATAAAAATTCCGTAATTAAAATTTCGTAATTAAGAGCTGTAAAATAATTTGAGAATGCTAATATATAAGACTTCTCGATGATCGTGGCATATGTAACAGTCAGATTTTTGGAACTTTTTCAAGCAGAGACGCAATCGGACCACGTTCACGCCGCAACAGCTTCAGGAATTGGAATCTCTTTTCCAGAAAACGCATTATCCTGACGTTTTCCTCAGAGAGGAAGTAGCACTTCGGATATCACTATCGGAAGCACGTGTTCAGGTGAATTTTTCTTGCGATTATTTATCATTGCTTCATTGAATTTCATTCAGCTTTTTTAACTAAATCTCTACATCCCACCTTCTATTTTTCTCAAAAAAGAAACGTTTGCCAATAATTACGTACAATTTTCTTAATATTTGGTTGATTATATTATCAAATTTTATTACAACTCCCCGATTGATGAATGAAGTGTTTTTGTTATCGAGAGGATTAAAAATAAAAGTGATTTAAAAAACAGGTAAATTATAAAAAAAGTTTTATACAATCGAAAATATTTAATTATATTCAAAAAAGAATTTTTATTGATTAATTCAAACTTTTGACATTCCGAATGTGAGATATAGTTAATTTAAATAGTCTTGATTGCTCTGGTTGATAGAAAGACAACCCTTTTATCCGGAAAATTATCCGAGGTAAAAGCTAATGCCTCGCCTTTGCCTTCCAAAAGGCTAAACAAACTTACAACCTCGAAATCTACGAAATGCGGCCTTCCAACAGATTGGTTCGTTCTCTAAAACCGTTCACTAATTAAAGCCCAAATAAACTGCAGAAAATACGCGCGGTTTATTTTCATTCGTTTTCCGAGTCCCTGATTAACCCGCTAATGATCGCAATCTCGGTGAATTTAATTTTCCATTAGGGGCGCTGTTATTTCACATATTACCATACAAAACGTACAAAATACCATCTGTTTACAACAAAATATTGATGAAAACAAATTAAAATACTGAAAGCACAGACTATCGAATCGATAAACTTCCTTCCAATTTAATGAACAAATTTTTAACAAAATTTTTTAAATTTCGTTTTACATATTACACGTAAATTAATTTCCCGTATGTTCTAATTATTTATTCGCGGATTTCAATTATTTATTAATGGACAACAAACAAGTGCTGCATATTATACAAGATATGTCTTGAAGCTTTTCTTGTAAAAAGAATAATTTTTCTGTTTATGTTTAACTGTTAATATTTATTTAAGTAATCTTGGCGAGAGTATGATGAAGTAAATCGTCATAAAAAGCGTCGTTTGATTAAATCGGATTTAAATTCACGGGAATGAATCGAGTATGAATTCAGAAAGCGTTTAAAGCTTTCGCGTAATGGTATTGCGGTACGGTATATTAATCAATCGATCTGCGATCTGATGCGATACGGATTGTCCGTCGATCAATTAATTTTCTTGCAATTCCAAGTGTAATTGGAGAAAGCAGCGGAGCAATGGCTTTCGAGTCGGCGCGACGCGCAGATGTTTCGATTCATTAATGATATCAGAATACGAACAAAACGTGGTTCGATCCGCGATCGTATCACAAAGGGCCCGCGTACATCTGGCTGCGATAGAGGCTATTACGCGAGGAAGGCCATTGTGCGAAAACGATTAGGCGAACGCTGATGAAACGTTGTGCGGGCGAATCCGCGCAACGAGCAGACGCGAGAAGCTCGGAAGTTCACCGAGAGAATAAATTCGATTGCTTTCGAATCTCCTCAGTCGCGAATCCCGTCGGGGCGTGATTTAGGGTACGGGGTGTTTTAGTGATTGACCGTACGGCACGGATCCCTCGCCGTATGAAAAAAATAAGTCGACGCAAAGGTAATCTCTTCCGAGAATGATTTTTTTATGGGCATATCCATTGTATTTGAAATAAATTAATAATTAAAATAAAGTGATAATATTTATTTATATTTAAAATTTATATTTATATTGAAATATTAATGCAAGGTTAACTCCAGATCAAGTGCCAGGTTCTTATATCCCATAGATTCGCGTTCAAGATTTTTGTTTCGATATATAAGGCATTTCTTTAAATGCAATTTTTTATTCTTTGTGCTCGTTTTTGGCCTTAGCTCTTTCT